GATGATGATGAGGAGGAGGAGGATGCTGATCATGAGGATGATGATGAAGATGCTGATGATGATGGCGATGATGATGATGACTATGGTGATGATGGTGATGATGTTGTTCATGATGGTGGTGATGGTGAAAATGATGACGACGATGATGTTGATGATGATGAAGATGATGAAGAAGATGATGATGATGAAGATGATGATGATCATGATGATGATGATGATGGCTATAGTATGGATGAGGATGAGGACAATCGCGTGACTGATCTGGTCTGATGTGCTGAGCAGAACTCCATGCCCGGGGTTGATGCAAGCTAAGCAACAAGCACTATCAACTTCACAAAACCCTACAAGAAATATCAATCAGTCGCGGCGGTGGGTGCAAACGGCTCACCCGTCACAAGAGGTGCAGTACTGCTGGAAGCGGAGTACAGCGGTGCTACCGAGACGACAGTCGCAGGTACAGTCATGTGAATGCAGCAAGTGCAGCTGCAACAGAACGAACAACAACACCAAGCAGAAGAAGTACTGTATCAGCAGCACCGACAGCAACAACAACGACGACAAATGTGCCTCTAGCCCCACTGTTGCCATGACTGAGTGTGAAAAGTACTTGCACATGTAGCAGCAGAGCAGCAACCGCTGCACAAGGAGGAATGCTACTGCGAGCTGACGAGACACGACACGAAGCAGGGTCGCCACCTTTATCCCTTATGACTTGACAGTGACATCATGAGAACCAGCCCATCTTCTTCTTCTCCAGTGCATCCACAATCATCACGAAAACTCGAAGTCTACAACAACGCCCTAACCTCGAGCCCGAACCGAACACCCTGAATCCTAAACCCTACCACCTACAACCCCACACCGGCCTCTGCACAGTTTGGACCATGGGGATCTGCACCTGCTTCTGGACGGGCACCTCCACGACCTGGTCCTGAACTCGCACTTCTTCGCAGCATACATGTGTGTATATATATATATATACATATACACATATTTATATATATATACACATATTTATACATATATATATATACACATACGGTTGAACCGGGGCAGCCACCAAAGATTCCAACTTGCAGGCGTCAGGAGTGGCTTGTATACTGTAGATGCCACCTAGTATATGTGGCAGCATCCTACTAGGGCACTAAGGTCTCCGTCCACAGTCCACACATGCTCAGCGGTCCTCATACTGGATTTGCGGCACCTCGATCTGCCTCACGATGGCTTGGGGTGGTGGACTTCGGCTGCTGGATGCATGGTGTAGGGGTGTTTGGTTCGGACTCTGGGGCAGCGAGGTTCAGATTCTTGCTGCCGCTCTCATGCCTGCGCCTGTTGATTCTGGCTTTTGGCTTGAGTCGCTGCTCTGAACCCTGGGATCCTTGATCGTCGAACGTGCATCCAGAACATTTCCGGATGAGTCCAGCAGCCGCCCTTTTCCGACACCACGTACGATCTGTGCCCGAAGTGCTAATGCCTCCACGTGTTCATCCTGAAGTGCTTCTAAAGTAGTCGCTTTGCCGCAGAGAAGTCCAACTTCCACCATGACCGACATGTTGCCACCAAGATCCTACAACCTCACCAGTGTTCTAGCTCCGGGTGCCGGGGTGAAAGAACAGGATAAAGCTTTAGACTTTGGGGTTTAGGGTGCAGTTTCCAGGCATGAGCTGTTAAGCGCTTTGTCACTGAGTCTGCACATCGGCACACCCAGCGCTGGTCCACGTGAGCCCCCGCGGAAAACCATCGCAAGTAAGCGCCGCGAGACTTTGAATCCCAAACCCTAAAAAAAACTAAGCCTAAAACCCCCCAACTGTGTAGAACCCTTGTAGCAACCCTGTAAGCTTTAAACTTTGAAAACAGATTCAGATCTTACAGCTTTCAGGGCATTTGTGGTCAGTTAGAATCAAGGGCTTAAGGCTTCCAGGGATAGAGTTTGAAGCTTGGGATTGAAGATTTAGGGAACTGTTGCTGATTCCAGGCTTCTATCGTGATGTTAGTGGCTGTTGGTGTTTGAAGCTTCAAGGTGCTTTTGAACGAACGTAAGGGTCCTCCCATAAAAGCTTCGCAATGCTTCGCAGATCATTTCAAGTCGAAGGGGTCTACACTGTCTGCACCAGCTCCTTTTTCAATTCGCCGGTTGCCCTAAACCCTAACTAATCCCTACATCCTTATTGGTTGCTTTTGACCTCCGTGCAGAAAATCCCAAGTCCCGAGAACCGGCCTCTGCACAGTTTGGACCATGGGGATCTGCACCTGCTTCTGGACGGGCACCTCGACGACCTGGTCCTGAACTCGCACTTCTTCGCAAAATACATATGTATATACATATATACACATATTTATATATATATATATACATATATATACACATACGCACCAAAGATTCCAACTTGCAGGCGTCAGGAGTGGCTTGTATACTGTAGATGCCACCTAGTATATGTGGCAGCATCCTACTAGGGCACTAAGGTCTCCGTCCACAGTCCACACATGCTCAGCGGTCCTCATACTGGATTTGCGGCACCTCGATCTGCCTCACGATGGCTTGGGGTGGTGGACTTCGGCTGCTGGATGCATGGTGTAGGGGTGTTTGGTTCGGACTCTGGGGCAGCGAGGTTCAGATTCTTGCTGCCGCTCTCATGCCTGCGCCTGTTGATGTTGATTCTGGCTTCTGGCTTGGTATGTGATTCCCCCTTGCAGTGGTCGTCGTTGGCATCAAGAGCTGCGATGCAATGCGAAAGCAAGCTGTTTCTCCTCCTCTCAATGCTGTCAGTGTCACGACTGGAGCTTGCTTTCTCCTCCCGACAAAACCCTTTGTTACGACCCCAAGCCCCAAACATCCTCATTTTCGGTACTTGCTCTGCGCTGGACCCTGCCTCTGAACGGTCTGCACCATTGGGATCTGCACCTGCTTCTGCATGGGCACCTCCACGATCTGGTCCTCCGCGAGCGCAGTGGTCGTTTTAAACTGGGGTCGCCTCGAGGGTCCCACAGGTACTCTTGTATGCTCCTGCCTCAGTGGATGCGCCTGGAAATCCAGAAAAAGAACAACTCCACTGACTCCGTCCTAGAGCATGAGCGACCGCCTGTTCTTCCTAGCAGAATTTAGGAGATCTGGGTGGTCATGGCAGCGAAGACGATGACGATGATGGCGGTGCTAAGAACCTCATTACACCCTGTAAAACCCTGTTACACCTCTTCAACAAGATGGTAGGTCACTGCGAATTTGGTCCTCATACTGGATCTGGGGCACCTCCACGGTTTTCTGAACCTTCTGGACGATGGGCACCTGCACCTCGTAGGGAAGGCTAAGGGCTTGGGTTGTTGGGGCTTTGCGCTTAGGCCATGAGCTTGCAGAAACACTCAGGTTATGCCGCGATGCGGCCAAATATCT